TTCTAGACTTCTGGAGTCCAATGGAATCCAGAAGTGTGGATTTTTGGAATGAATTTTTATAATAGCAAGGATTCCAGGAAATAGTGGAGTCCCTTGGAGTCCTGAGCCCCGGAGTCTGCTGTTTCCTCCTTGAATACAACCATTACAAGCAGCATTTTAGATTGCCAGTGGAACAGCTCACACGTGAAGCTCAACAACAGATTAAAATTGAATTTTATCAGACAGCAAGATTATATGACAACAAGCCAATGTCACAACCGCTCAAAACCAGCTAAAATGGACTATTTTTAAAAGAACAATGCCGTAAAACGGCCGCCGCGTTCCATGCTGTATCCGTTCTTTTTTCTCGCCTTGAATTGTTGTCGATTCGGTTACGGAGACGTTCGCTTTATGCATTTGTGTACCCATATTTCGTATGGATAATTCCATTTTTTGTTTTATTTAACTCCTCTTCAACAAGTACGAATATCACAATTATATCTGTATTATTTAAAGAAGGTATATGGTTGCTACCAACTCGACACACATCTCTTTCTTTTTTTATCGGGCGAGAAAACGTTTCTGGATAGATGTTATACATACTGGCTTAAATATATTTCTTTTATTTCGAGACAATCTGACTCTTCTGTCAGTTCAACTGAAGGCACAACAGTTGCTCGTATTCAACATCCATGGGTAGTTCTTCTCGATACAAAGACAAAAATTCTACATCTGACATCAACAGAAATATACGATGTTGCCCGGTGGACTATATTGGTGTGCTGGTGGTGATCATTACGGACAACTGCCGAATCAATTTAATGCTCCAACGGCTATCAGATTTGATTCAAGTTACAACTTGTACGTAGCAGATATGAGGAATGGTCAAATTCAGAAGTTCATTTTTAACGCATCTTCATGTAATCCGAATAATAACGGCTAAACACACAGCTCTTGGTGTAACGCGTTACAAACACTAAATTCCATCACGGCGATTTTGGGAGCACATTGTAATGAAGGATTTTTATATTTTTAATTCTAGCTGCTAAATTAATTATCTATTCTGTGCTCGCCGGTCGCCTCTTTAATGTCTAATCTTTACCGCTACTACAGTAATAATCAACTAATAATAAAATCTACACAACACCAAGTTTTCAGAACCCATTAGGTAATCTATGTTAGGTAACTACAATCCAGCTTTTTGTGGATTTTATGTTGATTTGAAGATTGACTGCTTTTTAAATTGATTGATAACGCGGCTATGAAAGAGGATATACTATAATTTATTTAGATTGAAAATCTTGTTCGTCAAATCAAGTGGCTACTTCGCAGCAATATGAAAATATTTTGTTATAAGCTTTATTTGAAAATATTTGACGATTGGGTTTTTAGTAAAGCTGGAAAATAAGGTCAAAGTCAGAGTTTAATCAGATGTTTTGATGTAACACTTTTTCGACCAAATACTCGGCCACATTGACATCATCAACTTTTCTACCTTGCCCAGCAATTGCACAAATTTCCAGTTTTGTCAAACATCGATTCCACATACAAATATCAGCAAGACAACATCCGCGATGAAGTAGTTGTCTAAAATTTAGCTCCGTGATACCATACTTCATATAGAACTTGCCTTTCACACATAAAAGTCCGTTAATCCATAGTTCTTGCTCTCGATGAAATGCTGCAGCTACTGAATTCTGTTTTAAACATAGATGATACCATTCGTTCGCTTTCAGTTCAATAGGGAGTAATACATTAGTTGAACCGCTGTTCATTTCGTGAAGAGCAAACTCGCTGCGTCCATTCACCATAATTGCGATGCTTGAGCAGAATCGTTTATCTGCTTCACGCAAAGTACATATAACTAGCGGACCTTGAACGCAAAAAAAAGAGAAGTATTTTCAAGAAATCAAAATCACAGAATTTCTAGAGTACTGACCGGTTTCTGCTGCAGTAAACCAAAAGGAAAGTGTATAATCGAGATCTGTCTCACTTACATCGACGTGTGGATTTATACCCATTGTCTCAGCTCCGTCAAACATAGTCTTAGCGGCGGCAGTTGTTGACGTTGTTGTCTGGTTTAAAACCAGAAGTGTTACAGTTGATAAAAATGAGGCGGAAAATGGTCGCATGTAAGAAAGGTCTGGATATATCCTAAGCGGAGTTTGCTTCGCTTTTAATTGAACTGCAGTAAAAATAAACCTTTCTAATATGGATCGGTTGAAGAGTAGTTGTCTCCAAAGATGACATGTGGACGAGATTTGTAATAGATTCGAAGGATCGGCGGAGCTGTTGTTGTGATTAGTACATGACAAACACAAAATTTTTTCTAAAATTTCGTAGGGTAGAATCATGTTTATATTTGATTCTGGTGAGGATGACATAATCTAACAGGCAACAAATGAACAAGTGGTCTAAAAATGAAATGTTCGGTTCTTTGCCAAATCGAACAACGCCGCCTCTGAGATCAACACACAGTTGCTTACATACCTCAACCCGTTGTTATGAAATAAAAGAAATTCTTACCATTTCTCGTCAAGGGCAGTGTGAAAACGACTTATAGCAGTGGTAGGCATTAGTGATTCTATATGACAAGTGACGTGAAAAAATGAATTTTCTCTTCGTAACATGAGAAAAAGTTACAACCTTTCGCTCTTATGAGAAATTTTGTTTATCTTTTATAAAGATAAGAGGCATGCGTTTTTCCGCTTGATTATACAAAAAAACATAATTCTTCATAAAAAAAGCATTTCACCGTTATTTACTTGAACTGTTGTTGCATCTGATGCTGCCAGTTTCTTCTTAACATGACGAAAAGTAACAATGTGAATAGAACCAATAGAAAATCAGAGGAAAACGATGACGTTTTAAATGAATTGATTCTAATGCAGAGGTTGAATTGTAAATTTAATTTATATTGATTAGAACAGAAAAAGAATATCATGATATGAATACAATGTCGCATTCGACTTCGTCTTGTTCAATTTGTATTTGCTGCTCGTTGACATTTTAATTTTGAATAAAACTTTCGTAGAGTGATACATGTATGTAATCTATATATCTGGACATATGCATATTCATATGTGCATACTAGAATAGAAATAAGTTTCATACGGAACTGTAGCTTGATTTCCATGCTTCTGGAACTGGACTAATGTGATTTTGTACAAATCCACAACCAAATTTAATAATTTCGCGCTTTCAATAGTCATACTTACCATTGTCAGAAAACATGTGGAAAAAGTAAAACTAAAATACATTTTCTATTCTTACATGTATGAAAGAAGGTAGATGGAGTTAAGATTATATTTTTCTTTTGTTATATAGTTTCCTGTCTCACACATATGCCGTCACAGAAAAAAATTCCACCTTCAACACTATTTCATATGTTGCTGTTTGACTTTGTCTATAATTAACTTTCGTTTTTTCTCGTTCTTTCTATGTTGTTTATGGTATAGACTTCTGTTTTTTAATTATAGTTATGTCTGTACAAACCATAATATAAAATAGTCTTTCATCACAAGCAGGTGTTTTCGTGTACAACAACAGCTCTTCCTTTTCTTACCTATGCCATAGAAAAAGGACAAGAACAGAAAAAAGTATGCCCTATTCTCTTTCTAGATTAGAGGTCAAAACATAGCTTTGATGTTAATTTTTTTCTTCTATTATCAACGAAATATTTTCACGTTATTTTATGGCCACAATCGTTCGAAAACATACAGTTTGACGAATAAACACTGTTTCATCTCGTGTTATCTAGAATTTTTTTCTTCTACTTGATAAAGTTACTATGACAATGGCTTTTTCTAACGATTATATACTCGATAGTGAACGAATCGTTGATGTTAAACAACATGAAGACTATCTTTTCTGTCCTATCTGCCGAAATCCATTATGGAAGCCCGTATCATGTAAAACATGCGAGAAAAGCTTTTGTAAACGTTGCATCGATGAGTGGTTACGCTCGCAAAATGCAGTACAGAAGCGATGTCCATCAAGTAATTGTCTCTATATAGAAAAACGTTGTTCACCGTTACTGAATTCACTCTTATCGCGAGTGCTTGCACGATGTCAATATAGCAACTTTGGCTGCCAACAAATAGTTTTGTATGATTCATTAGTAAAACATGAAGATGAATGTGAATATCGTGCAGGTAAATGTCGTGGATGTAAGAAAGAATTATTGGAGAAAGATGTTAAATTACATGAGCAAAACTGTGAACAGATACTCATTCATTGTGAGCTATGTCATTGCAACATTAAACAATCAACCTTAAAACTTCATTTTATCGAATGTTCTAAAAAACAATTAAAACTGGTGAAAAATGATTTAACTCGGGAACTAAAAAAAAATGAGACAGAATTACGTCAAACTATAACATCGATGGATAATGACAATCGGACAACGTTAAAGAAATTTGAATCAGACATGAAAGTATTAGAAAACACCATAAGTTGGACACACAGTACATTATTAGCAAGATTAGACACAGTTGGTAACCAACTTGAACTATTGCACGAAAGTAATACTTTTAGTTTACAAGAAATTGATAATATTAATTCAAGTATAAAAGCATTAGAAGAGCAAATAAAATGGAACAAGGCAACGTTTGCTACTTTAGAATATAAATATAATCAGCAGGAACAAGCAAAAAATGATATCCAGAGCAAACTATTAGAGATGCAAGAGAGAATTGACATGTTACAAAATCAACAAAAACAATCGAAAGCTATTCACGAATCATTACGGTATATAATTAAAACCATATTCATACTCATGTTTCTGATAATATCTATAATATTATTTGCTACTGTCATATATTTCAGTACAACAATAATAGTAGGATGTGTAATTACTACTTTCGTTTTACTGATGCTTTGGGCAGGACTTTCCGACGATGTAGTATCCAACTATTTATCAAACTTTATCGAACAAATTTTAGCAAAGTATTTTGAATTTTACAACATTAACTAAAAACGCGTTTTCTTTGTGTCGAAGTGCTATATCGAAGTATGCAGAATACAATAACACATATAGGACTTGTAAATCTAAAAAACGAAATCCTGTATATTTCTCATATTATTTACAAAATAGAACTGACGAGGAATGATCCCCAACTGATAAATCGCTTTTTCAACGAAACCGACTGGACTATAGGTAGTCGACGATGCTGATTCCGAATACCACCATGAATGCTGCCGCTAGGCCTTCAAAGACCGGT